CTGATGAGTTGGGAAGACAGAATTTGGTGTCATGTCACCAACTTGGGAAAGTTTTCTGGGAATGTAGGAACCTTTCTTGACTTCATTATACATGCTGCAAGGACAAGGACGGGCAATTGCTGATTTCAGTTCTTCTCCTCCTGGGCTCTAGTATATATGCTTCCCAGTCCTGGCTGGAACAGGGCTTGGAGCCTGAAAGAGGGAGATGCTTCCCTGTTCCTTCCCCCTTTGTAGGCAGAATCTCCTTAGTGACAGGTTTGGACAACTTAATAAGGAGGCCAGGTGTAGAGAGTGCTTCAGGGTGTCAGCTCGGTCTGGATCGTAGTCTCTACCTTGCTCGCAACTGAAGTGACGAGGCTAGAGCGTTGTCCTACACACTTGTGTAGTGTTGCTCTAGCCATGGCTGTATAGTCATGAAACGGTTGGGATCTGTGCTTGGGGGGCAAGGGAGGAGATGGAGAGAGAGCAGATATGGTGGGGAATCTCAGGGAGGAGAGCTGGAAAGTGAAACATGAGACGGAGAAGAAATAAAGTTAAAACTTCAAGTAGGGGATCAGCAGTGGAAGTCATGTTAGCAGGGTGGCACAGCGGGGCGGGGAATGATAGTATAGCAAGAGGGACAAGAGGGATGGATTTGACTATTTGGGGTGTATGTAATTGGGGCTGCATATGCTTATCTTGGTGCAGTTAGTACAGTGGGTTAATTTGCCTGAAATGCCAGATTTCTGGATTTATGGCTTTACCAGGGCTGGGCACAAGAAGCAGTCTTCTCACAAACCCATTGCAATCCAGCTTTAGGTGTGCAACCATAACGTTGTACCAGAGTGACTTGTACATTATTTCATAGCTCTTGATTGCAAGACCCTTGGTTATCAATGTCTCTTCATTATAATATCTTGCCTCTTTTTTGTAATCTATTGATTATCGGCAGTCAGATGCTACAATGATACAGATGTGTCCAGGACATCTATATGGAGTTATCGAATCTTTATTTCCTTAGTCTCTAAGTAGCCAAGCTAAAATTATTCACAAGGAGTGGGAAAAACTGGTTTGTAGGCTAAGTTGCTGTGAAAAGGTGAACCCAATGAAAGGTACAACTTAAGCAGCATGGGCTCCTTTCCCAAGGAGGTCGTCTGAAAGGAGCAGATGTGAGGTTAAAGGTGGGGGGGACAAAGGTGGATAATATGCAGTAAAACTGGTCTTGAAACTCCTTGGTTGTGCCAAGACCTCTTTCTTTTCTGCTCTTCTACTCCTCTTATACAAACTTGGGCCATAACCTGTTCAGTACAGAGTTGCCTCCCTTAAAAGGGGTGTCTGAGAGTTGGGGTCCTACCCAGTGTTGACTAACGAGCCAAATTGAAGATCAGGGTTAGCCGAAACAACAAATGAAAAACCTCTTTCACCCTTCGGGGAGAATGCTGACCCGGGTCACTTTTGACTGAAACATACCTGGCTTACCGAGTCTCCGTGACAAGCAAATAATTTATCCCTGTTTATTAGAAACTAGCTCAGCTCTGCAGATAATATCAAACTATGGAAGAGAAAGGAAAAGTATTACGCTTCATATTAAAACCAGGGATTCTGGAATGGTTTTGCACCAGGCTGGGAATACCAAATGACTTCTGCTGCCCAAGTAAGAGGAGCGAGGATGCTTGACTTAAGAGTCTCTCTTAAGTAGTTCAAAAGTTTGACTATAACCCAAATTAATGGTGGGGGAAGCTATCCAGGGTGGCAAGAGAGGGGGAGAGGAAAGGATGTGAAAGGAAAGTGCATCCTTACCATTAGGAATTAAGCAGATGAGCTCTGATTGATTGATTGATTTGTCCTATTTTGCTTCCCAGAAGAGAATCATTGCTGCTTATCCTGAAATGCCTTTGAAACAACTCCCAGTATTAAGAGGTGTCTAATTGACTTTCACATCCAAAGGTCCTCTGAGCATATTTCACCTAACAAATTCCCTTCCATGCAGAGGCCCCAGCTGTTGTGTCCCTGGTCTCTCCTCCTCCCTTCCCTCCCTCCCTTTCTCCCTGTGGTGCATTGTAGTGGTTGAGGATTTGGTCTTTTGGGGTGCCTATACACATGCAGAGGCTGCTCATTTGATGAGCTTTAGTTAATGCGCCCTGCTGCCATTTTTCAATGAGGGGATGCTGATGCATGAGATGATTCAGGTGCTTTTAATTAGAGCAACTCTTGGAGCTGCTCTAATTAAAGTGTTCCCGTCCCCATCCCCCACTCCCAGAGCATATGTATAAATGCCCTTGGTCTTTAGGTTTGGTTTGGTTTGATGTGAAATGTTAGGGGTTGCTTAGGGGCTCTTATTTTACGATGACCCTCCAGCATCCCCAACTCTTTTAGTATCTTGTTGCTCATAGTTTTTAATACAGAAAATGGCCAAACTCAATGTACGTGTGTGGCGCTTGGTTGGCACTCCTGGAAGGAACTCTTGCAAAGAATGTGTTCGTTCTTTCGTATCCTGAAGTGGTGTCTTTGGCTGGATGTCAGCTTTAAAATGAGCCCAAACATTTGGAGGAAACTTGTACTTTTAGAGTTAGGACCTCATATTTACTTATCAGTCTTTTGCACTCAGTGGTCTCTAGTTACAGTTTCCAGGGCAGTTGTTAGAACCAGCATCAAATGGTGCCTTACTGCTTGTGGACTGCCCCGAGGGAGCCGCGAGGCGTCTTGTAACTGCAGTAGCTCCATCGTGAAAACTGGGACTTCACAGTCGTCTGTGCCGAGATGGTATCTAACCTGGAATGCACTGCAGCCAGCTTTGGCATCTTGAATGTCTTCCCAAACCTGCATCTCTGAGTTTGTATTTCAGCCTGGTGCCACAGCATTTATTTTAGGATAACTCCTGTGGCTGTGACTTGTGGGGGTGCAGCCTAAAATGTCTGAGGGCTGGGGCCAAATTAATTCATGGAAAAACCTCACTGTAGCCAGTGGAGTTGCACAGAGGAAGAATTTGGCCCCAGGGCCCCAAGTGAGCACTTTTTTCTTCCTAGTTTGCTGTTGGAGCACTCTGAGATGCACTCCTCCTGTAGCCCACCCAGGCTGCTCGCCCTGTAGCAGGGAGCGATGTTTGTTGAAGTGCTCAAAACTAACTTTAGTTCCAAGTCAGTCCACACACAGCGTTAATGTGGTTTAACGCCTGCGCATGTAGATGCCGGCTTATTCCCACCTACTGCGCAGTAACTTCTTGTGCAGTAAATTTAAGTTGGTGTAAATGCATGTGTAGATGCACCCACTGTGTATATACGTATTTAGCATGAAGCGGACAAGCCAAAAGTCTTCCTGAGACCTGATTCTGAGCTCAAGTCACCTCAACCTCAGCCACTTCCTTGTTCTCAGTGTTGCACATCTCTTTCCACCCCCTCTTCTTCCCTCCCCTTTTAAAACATTCATTTTCCCCCTCATTCCCTGCATCTGCTCTCTTTTTCCACTACCAGTGTCACAGGGTTGCAGCTGACCCAGTGACTCCCAGCCCTTTGGTGACTCCTTTGGTCCATCTTGGCTGTGGGTTGCTGGTGTTGCTTTTTTGATTGAGAAAGGTGATGAGCATAAGGTGAATGAGAGGGTGTTGTGGTGCCTTTGCCACTGCCAAGGGAACGCCGTTAGAGAAGACCAGACAGAAGTGTCTGGGTCTAAATACTGGTGCTGATCTGTCCAAGTACAGAAAGGGCCAACAAAGGAGGCTCATGTCATATGAGCTGGTGTATCTAAGCCAAACTGTTGCCCGCTCTGTGCTACCAGGGTCCTTGGGATGGAGCAGGGAGGGAGGGAGTTTGCCCTTAATGCTGTTTTAGTCGAGTTGTTCAGCCATGAATGTCCCTGTCCTTCCCAGTTCTTTGTCCATACTGCCTTCCTGGAGCCTTCCTTGCACAAAAGCAAGTTTGCACAGCTGTGGGCAGACAGCCAGGCAGGTGTAGTCCCAAGCAGTGCATGTGACGACAATAAAACAATTAAGGGGCAATGTGTACTAAATGGGGGGATTTCTCTGGTACTGGGGGAGAGCTAGCAAGAGAAACTCTGATAACACAGGCTGTGCCTTGGCCAGGGCCACATCATCAGTACCTGATAGGGAAGTGTTCAGCTTTGTGAAATCCTGTGGGTCCGAGATTTGGATTTTAGTTTGTCTGCTAATACATGTCATCATTCGCAAGGTGTTCTTGATCTGCCAAGGGTTTAGCAAATCTTCCCTCAGCACCTGCCAGGTTGGAAACATCCCCTTTTTTAGAAAAGGGAGAAACTGTGGCTGCAATATCACCACCCAGATGGAGCTGGTTTCGGAGCCTGTTGTGAAACAGGTAATCGCAGCCCTGCGAGCTGTGTGCAGAGACCTTAGCAATAAAGCATTGGCTGCCTGAAGATCACGTCCCTTCTGTGCAGGAAGAATGTGTTTCTCCTGTTAATTATTCATGTTTGGGAGAAAATACATAAAACAGCATGATTTATTTAAAAAAAAAGGCCCTTGTAGCCAGCAGATAATGTTGCTGTTACTGTGTACAGGAGTGCAAATGGAGACCTGAGCACTTGGAGAAGAGACTCTTGTAAGTAGGGAAAACTGAAACGGTAGCTCTAGCGCGCACGTGTAGCCGATGTTTTATGGTACCTCATCGCCAACCCTGTGTAACGCGGTGCCATGACCCTCCGCACCTGACAGAGGGACTGAACGGAGGATGTAAGAGCACTGATACATCGATAGATGTACCTTGAAAAAGCATACATACTGACGAAACCCATCGGGAGCAAGCTCAGAATCCGGGGCTGCCTTCCTAGAAATGAGCACTGTGTGGTATCTGCAGGTTAGCACACGTTGTGTGATAAGAAGTCTGTTCCTTTTATCGTGATGAGCAGTAAACAGTTGACGTGGAACCTCAAGTGCACCCTGCTGCCTGCTTGCATGTGCTGACCTCCGATTTATTCTGGGTAGGATTTTCAAAGCATCCAAGTCACTTGGGTACTTCTGAAAATCCCACCCATGTTTTTTTCTTATCTAGCACTCTGCTTCTGACTGGGCCTTCACAGGGGGCACGATTCCTGTCCCAGAGAGCTTCGAGTCGTCGGGGAGTGCGGGAGAGAAGGTTTGGCAGGAGATGCCATTGGTGTAAGCAAGGGGACATGTCGGTTCTGAGGGGGACCAGACCAGGGCAAGCGAGGGTGGCAGAGGGCAGAAGTGTTTGTGCCAGGACCCCTCCCCTATGTCTCCTCGCTCTTCCTTTACACTTCTGGTGAGCTAACTTGCTCCCAGCCAAACCGCTTCTTGTCAATGAACAAACCTGAGATGGTTGTGATGTTTTCAAACCGTCCCATTGCTCACTTCACTTATGTATTCTGCCCTTTCCCCATGAGCTTAATCATAGAAAAGTAGGTTTGGAAGGGACCTCAGCAGGTCATCTGGTCCCAAAGCAGGCCCAGCCCCAACAAGATCATCCCAGCCAAGGTTTTGTCTAGCCAGGCCTTAACCTGCAAGGATGGAGAGTTCACAACCTCTCTGGGTAGCCTGTTCCAGTGTTTTTACTACCCTCCTGGTGACCAGTCTGTAGTTTGCCTATGTTCACTTAGATTGGGGGTGGCTAACCCGCAGCATGTGTGCCACAAGTAGCATGGGCAACTTCTGTGCGTGGCGTGTGGCAGATCAGGGAGGGGACAGGCAGCACAGCATCAGGAAGCAGAAACAGAACAGCAGGTTGGGCACAGAACAGAAAGCAGAGCTGCAGGTAAGGCAGGGGACAGGGATCAGAGTGCTACCCAGGGAGGGTGCAAGATTAATTTGTGGCACACCTGCTAAAAGACTGGTCCCCACTGAGTCAGATTTTGGTTGGGGACTGTCCTTTTGCAGACAAAAAAAATCCTGGATTCAGAACAAGGCCTCAAAGACCTACCCAGCCACCCCTCAGTACTCCTAACCATCATGGGGCATTTTTTGCATATGCTGTGGGACACGGTGCTGAGCGCTTTAATTAGCGGGCCATGCTAATCAAAAGCGCCTGCACATCATGTGCGTTAGCGTCGCCCCATGTCCCCGTGCTGAAAAATGGTAGCAGGATGCTTTGAACTAGAGCTCATCAAACGTGTTTTATTTCAAAGCGCCCCACCGCCGTTTTGTCAGCATGGAGCTGTGCGGCAACACCAGTACACGTGACGCGGGAGGCTGCCAGAGCACATCGGTTTTCGTGCTCCAGCAAACTCGATTAATTGAGTCTGCTCCAATGCGCTGGACTTCCAGTGCGCTGGAGCAGGATCCCTGCACGTGTATAGGAGCCCATTATGACCACTTGTAGCTGCAGAGCGGTAGATACTCATCATCTTTCTGTTGGGCCCTAGACGGAGAGAACGAGGGGCTAAAGATGAAACTGGACTGTTTGTGCCACGGTTCAGTAAGAGACTGTCTCAGCACTGCAGTTGCTGGGACACAGCAGCTGCCCAGGCGTCATCATTGCAGTAGGAGGATGGACCTGAATGTGGAGCATGTTCGGATGCGTTGGAATGAGAACGTGTGTTCTTTCAGCCGCCGAAAACATTTCTCGAGGGTACGTGCGGAGACAGTTCGAGCCTCTGCGCCGGCCCTCCCCCTGCCCACTCTTCTTCCTGCTCCCCCAAAAACAACTCTGCTCCATCGATGCCAGGAGAAGTAGGAAACCAGATCAAGAGAACAGCTTGTCCCTGTTGGATATTCGAGGTAATATGACCCTCTTAGGAAATGCGCGCGCGCGGCGTGACCTCTGCTAAACTTTTCTTGGCTTGCCAAAGCAGCTTACATGATGTTTGCTGGATCAAGCACATATGGAGATGTGTTTTGATGAAGAGATTGCAGGGGGGAAGGTTGGGGGACCTTTATTGGTTGCAGCATAATTTAACAAAGCCTGGATAAGGCCCTCTGGGATCATGCACACAATTTGGGGTTTCTTTGGATGGCAAGTTTCCCAGGGATCTGAGCGCTTCATGCAGTGGGCCTTGGGGAGGGGGAAGAGGACCAAGCAGGGCTGTAAAGAGCAGCAGGCTTTCTGAGAACATAGCAGAAGCATAAACCCTCCAACTCGGAGTCCAAACCCCTCCAGGCAGCCAAATGAGGAGGAATTTTAAAATATCACTTTTAAGTATATTAAAAAGAAATGCAATTCAGGAATTTAAAATGGAAAAAATATGTTGCCAGCCTGGAGGTTTGATCACAAATCAGGTGGCGGTAAGTTTTTGTTTTGTGCTTCTACCCCCAAGTGTGCGTGTTTAAGTGAGAATCAAAACTTTTTTGCTTAAAATAACAGTAATGAAATGGTGTTAAGTTTCCCACTCTTGCTTTCAGAGGTAGCCTGAAAAAGTTGACTTACCAGTCATGTCAGAATTCAAAAAACAGAAGGGGGAAAAATAAGAACGAAGCACTTTAATTTAAAAAAAAAAAATCTTTTAAGCTGATCTGATGTTTCAGGGGGCGGGTGACTCATTTTTGGAGATTGGGAGTTTGCAGTTCTGCAGCAGAGCCGACTGTGGAAAGAAGCAAAGCTCTGTAAACAGTGCTGGTTGCTGGGTCAGCAAAACCGGTGCGATCTTGTGCTCCTCAACCCTGCAAAACTCCCATGAACTTTAGTGCGAGTTCCTTTGAGTAGGGGTTGCACAAAGGTCTTTCCATGCTGATACCTTCGCCTTTGGGTGTAGTTTGTGAACTGGGGGATTTTTATGAATCGTGCTGATCCCGTGCTCCGGTTATAGACCAAAGGTGAATACTGAATTAATTCACATTTCGATCCATGCCCCCTCTTTATCTAGGAACTTCATATGCGAGCACCAGCCCCAGATCATATGAACACTTGAAAAACATTTGTGGGTTCAGTGCCCTGACACTGTGTTCGAGTTGTAGTGTTACAGATGGGGAACTGGGGCACGTGCAGCTGAACGACCTGCAAGGGCAAGCAGTCTGGGGCAGAGTTGGGGAATGAATTCCCCTTTGTCCCAGTCCTTGATCCTGCCTACTAGTCTCCCTCCCTGTCCTTGGAGCCGGCTGAATGTCCTTCTTTGGAAGGAGAATTCATGCATCCTTAAAACATAGTAAAATTTTGCAAACTTCTTACTAGGAACATTTGTGAGCCTGTACAATCCAGACTGCATATAGGTATGTTCAGGATGATATTCCCAGGATTAAGCTGAATTAAAAGTCGTTTCTTAGCTAATGATTTTCAGTGAGAATTTTTCAGTTAGTACGTATTTAAATAATCAGAGGTGTGGCTAAGACACAAATGAGTGGTGTGTCCCACAGGGGCAGCAGCGTGTTGAAACAGTAGGCACTAGAACTGTTATGAATTAACAAAGTACTAGCAGCTTTGTCTGAGCAAGGAAGACGTGCCATGGGCTTTGGCGTGTGTTTGGGGGGAGGAAGGGAGTTTGTTGGTGCCTGTAGGACAGAAAGAGAGATTAGGCAACCTCTCTGAAGACTGTTTTGTAATTGTAGCATGCGTGGCTGTGGCTTTACAGTTCTTCCCTAGCATTTGATACTAAACAAATGGAAACAAACACAAGGACTGGATGTCCCAGCTCCTTTTTTTCCAAAACAAACTGCAGTTTTCCCCCATCTGTTCCCAGGTGGCATCCTGACCCTTGCATTGCTGGCTGGATGCTGAGTGAGGCAGCACGTGGCAGCTAATCCTCCCACACTGATAGTTGACCAGACTGCAGCTGTCCTCAGTCTTCAGCAGTTAAAACCATGCCCTCCGCTCGTCTCGCCGACTGCAGCAAGAGCCTGCAGTGACCCTGGTATAGGGGAGCAAGGTTTGGGTCAGTAGTAGTAACAACTTAGTAAAGCGAATCTCTGCATCGTATGGGCAGGACCTTGGAGTTTGCCAGATTTTCATTTCCATGTTCACCTTTTTGCCACAAAAAAAATGATTTCCAAACAGGCAGTATTGTGTTGTGCTGCTCCAGGCCTTTTGTCTTTCTCGGAGCAAGGCAAGTATCAAAGGAGTAGTCATGTTGGTACTACTCTCGTAGTGGCCAGTTCAGCTGGTTTGAATCAATGGGATTTGCATCCCCAAGAAGTTGTCATCATCACATGGTATTTCAGTAAATGTAAGTCATATATAAAAGGTCCATGGTCACTAGAAAAAAAGACATTTGGGGTTTCTCTGTAAAGCTCATCTGCTGAAGGAGAACGCTGTGGTTTGGTTTGGTTTTTTTTTTTTACCTAGATATTTCTGTATTGTGCATTTTTCTTAGGCAGTAACTTTTTTTCCCCCTCTTCTGAGATGGCTTGTGGCTACAATGTAAAATGACATGCACTTCTACTGTTCCAGATGTATGCCCTCTGTATCCGAGAGGTACAGTAGATATTTGATGACTGCCTAAATATTTCTGATAGCGTGAAGTGGTATTAAATGAAGAATGCATGTTTTCCTTCTGGTATAAAACCTCTGGTGTAAGCAAATGTTCCCAACTCCCACATTTCAGGAGTTATTTTGATTAAAGAATTGTGATTTTTCTTCCATTAGCTGAAGGCAATTGAATAGGGTTTCTAAGAGATGTGTAGGGTGAATCCTCACTCTCGCGTTAATCAACATTAAAAACATCTTAGCTTTAGTAATCATGGATTTGCTTTGTCATTTAAATATTTGCACAGCCCTGTTTTTTCATGCATGTGTGAATACAAGACAAAGATGTGCTTCTAGTACAAGATCAGGTTATCATTTTCATACTCTACATAATCCTTGCCTGTAATCTTGAAAATAGTAAATGTATTGTCCCAAGTAATTGGCTGGCACCTTCCTTTACTGCTTCACCAGGAGTCATGAGTTGACCTATTTTTCTCTGGCGCGTGTGCACATGCACGTTCTGCATTTGTAGGCACTAAAACCAGGGTCCCTTAGAGTCTCTCAGTTTTGTTTAAACTGTTGGTTTAGAAATATTGTGCCTGTACTTTATATTACCCAGTTAGGCACCTTCCAGAAGAAAAGTAGCTGTTCCTCATGCGACTGTGTGAACGGTTCTGTCGACTCTACGGTTTTCTACAAAACTCCTTAGCTTTGGGGGTCTCTTAAGTCTGGTAAAGTATGCTCTGGGAGCGCTGCCTTGATTCCCCCGCACGGCAGGGAGGTGGTGCTCGCAGATCTGCACAGATCGCTGAGGTCTCCGTCGTAGTGTGCAGCACACACCGACTCTTCCGGGTCTCGACTCCTCCAGTCTGGTCTCTTCCCAGTGTTGATCAACAAGCTGCACCCCACAGATCCTTAGCCAACACTTTCAGAAACCCTCCTCGTGGCTTTGGGGAGCTCAAATTAGAGACACTTTACAGGAGCCTCACTTTTTAAAATTTTTTTTATTTTTATTTTTTAAAAGAGAACTGTCTTTCCACAGCCTGAAAGTGAGGCACTTTCGGGGCTCTCCAGTTGGGTACAGGGCATCCTCTAGCTGCTTCTAAACATCTTAATACTGTCACCGGTGACCTAATTCAAGCCACAAAGCTAAGTGCCCCTAGGTGACTGGCACGTGTGCTCCCACGCACACCTTGGGCTAGCTGAGATCATCCCTGGCAGGCTTGTAACGTGTCCCGTGGATGCTCTGCGGGGTTGGGTGGTGCCACGGAGGCAAATTCCTGCAGCGGGCGAGAGTTCACCCCGTTTTGCAGCAAACGCCGCACCGTGCATCCAGGAGTGTGAGTATAATGGGATTAGCAAGAGTGAGGGCACAAGCCGCAGTCGCAGCTATTTAAAGAGCAGGTCTCTATTTTTTACTTAAAGGCAGAATTCTGTTAAACTAATCTGGCTTTTATAATGAACATGGCTAGGCTCCATGTTGTGGGGTTTTTTAAGGCTGGTGTTTGCCACATGGGTTTGGTTTTGAAGGATAAAGACCTCTCTACTGTGTTCCCAGTCAAGCAACTAAATACATGACTGGGTCTGTATCATGGCCCCAGCCCTCCAGCTATTGGAAGAGTACAACATTTCATTGTAGTGCTAAAGTATCATGTGCGGGTGCTACTGAGAGGTAACCCCACCAGCAAGGAGCAGGCCTTGTTTCCAAGTCGGAACGAGAAAGTAATTTTGAGCATTTAGTCTCTGGTCAAGGTCTGATTTCTGCCTCCTGCAACAAGCAGCTGAACCTACAAGGAGTTTTGCTTCTAAAACCATGTATTGCTCTCCAGTAGGTTAAAGTGCAGTTCATATAAAATTCATCACTAATTAAAATCCATTGTGGCCAAGATAAGTAGTAATGGTCCACCCCCCCCCCCTTTCCCATGTATGACTTTGGGGGACAAGAATAAGTTTGAATGGCTCGTGGGCTCTGCTTTGGTGCATCCACCGAAACGTGCTGTCTCTTGCCCGCCGCTCAAATCCCATCGTTTGCAAAGAGAGGAGGAAAATTTATCCCTGTTTTGGAGCAAATTAATAAACCAGCACTGAGGATTTGGTACAAGAACTGAATGCAAACACAAACGGGTTTAAAAATATCACGGGCTTGGTTATTCTGAGCCCCAGGCACCCACAGGCACTGAGCACATCACCGACTCTTTGCTAGGCCCCTTTTCATCAGGATTTTTTAACAACTGAGCCAAAGTTTAACACTGTGAGTTGCCTCTCACCTGTGAAGAGAAGTCCAGCCGGTGAGAAAAGACTCAATTACCATGTTACGACTTCCAACATGACATGGGACCTGGGACTCGGTAACACTCCTTGCATCACAGGTCTGGAACGGGCTCCCAAGGGAGGTGGTGCTCTCCCCTACCCTGGGGGTCTTCAAGAGGAGGTTGGATAAGCATCTAGCTGGGGGTATCTAGACCCAGCACTCTCTTTCCTGCCTATGCAGGGGGTCGGACTCGATGATCTATTGAGGTCCCTTCCGACCCTAACATCTATGAATCACATTGCTTGTGTGCCTTCTTATATTCGTATTATTTTATTATGAGTACCATGATTTTTTTTTTCCATGCGTCACTAAACCCTTGCTGTCAGTATCATAAGGTCACAATCTCTGTTTTTATTTTAAAATACAAAATGAGTTTTCCTCTTGACTAGAAAAAAAGCCTGAAAATAGGAATCGCATATGATCTAAAAGCTCAGAATTCAAAGGGCAAATCGAAACCATCCCAACTGGATTATTTTGGGACAGTCTCATGATTTTTAAGCCAGTCATGTTATTTTTAGCTTACCATTGAATTTTTTGAAAGCTTGAGGTTGACCATACGTTGGAGTTATAATAGAAGCTGGTTGGCTCTACGAAGCCCCCGCAGGGAAGAGACAGACCCTCCCTCGAAGTGGTTTCTGTCAGAGACAGAACAGGTGCGGGGTGGAAGGAAAAGTGCAGGGAGGCAAGGTGACTGGCTCAAGGTTACCCGGCAGGTCAGTGGCAGAGCTGCGAATACAGGCTGGTTCTCCTGCATGCTGGACAGCTATGGTCCATCTGACCACAGCAGCTTTGTCCTAGGCAGAAGTGTGGTTGGAAATGAAGAGCATTGGCCGGACCATGCTTTAGGAAGGTGGCCCATGTCCACTAACCCAGCCTGTGCGGTGGTTGGTCATGAACCCTGCCCCCGGAGCGGGGCATCCGTCTGTGTAGATAACTGGTGTATTTGATTTTGGTTTGTCTTCAATTAACAGAATCCGTAGCGGTCTGTTATTCTTGACTTCTGTGACCTGCAGATCGTGCCAGGCTTGAGGCAGCCTTGGACATCCGGCCCAGACGAGGACAGATCGTGTCCCCGAGCCCCACGTCATGACCCCCAACGCAACCCCAACACCTGTTAACAATCCTAGGTGCATTGGTACAAAACCCAAGTGCTTGGAGAAGCTGCTCGATTTGACATGCTCTCATCAGCTAATCCAGCGCTGACCCTGCCTGGCGGCTGTTGGATCTGTGGGCACCTTGGGTACGCTCCTGCAGTTGAATCGGCCCCCCAGGCTTGAGTCTCTTCTTCTGAGGTGAGGTGTTGCGTTGGGTCCTGTGCTCTCTCTCCTGTGCCTGAATGGACTTTCCTTTTTCCTGGGGGAAACAAGGTTTGTTTGTTTTTTTTAATTATAGCTTTTCTCTGCATTGGGCAGTTTTCAAATTCTGTCTCAGCTGTTTTGTTAAGAAAACGAAACAACCATCAGACTGGCCCATTGTATTAATAGCTTTTATTGTGCGGGTGGCAGTGGTCTGTAGAATAGTCCTTTATAAGGTTTACAATAGGTAGCCTGGACGTTGTTTCCAAAATGCATTGTCGTCACTGCTTGTGTTTCAGTACCACCTCCGGGGCCTAATCCCGCTCGGGGCCATATTGTGCTGGGCGGTGCAGGCCCAGATCTCTGTTTTGTGGTTCACGTTGCAGGGAAGGCTGTGTTGATTTGCATAACTTCAGCGAGTTGCAAGGTCTGATGGGTTTTGTTTTTTCCCCCTTCAGTCACGGCCCTCTTCTTTAGCACTTAGCTTTTCACCTGTCCCTGATCTGCAGGAGCTTTCGTCATAGACGGCCAGCTCTGTTCCTGTGCGCGTGCAAACGGGTCTAGTTAAAACCAGGCTGAATATTTCAGCTCGTTTTGACTGTAAGGAAAAATTTCATCCGTTTCATAGGCAATGAGGATTGGGAGGGACCTCAGGAGGTCGCATCTAGTCCAACCCCCTGCTCAGAGCAGGACCAGCCCCAACAACATCATCTGTTTAAGCTCAGACTTAAGGGTTTGTTGCTGTTTTTAGAAAAGTAATGTGGTTTGAGGAAACTTTTAGATCAAAAGATTTCCCCCTTTCCCCCACCCCTGTGTGACTCAAGCATCCAGACCAAACTGACTGGAAACAAAGGTGAAGTAGAGGAAGCCGGTCGGTCTTCAGTGTAAAACGCCCTAAACAGCCAGAGGGACCGATGAAAACAAAATCTATCTTAATTATTCTTTCCTTTTGGTTGTAACGACCTAGAAGCATACGGCGGAGATGCTCTTGTTGTTAGATGTGCTTTTGCCCCGGTATGTCCCTGTTGAAAGTCCAGATCAGCTTGGGGTGGGGGGGAGGTGCTGCCTGCTGTCGTGTGCAATTGTGTGTGCGAGGAGTTATTGAAAGCTGGCCACGTGCCACGGCATCTTTGCCGGGCCGCGGCTCCAGGGCTCGGCGTGATTACATAATGCTCTGCAGCAAAGAAAATCCAGACTCTGTCCCCAGCACTTCCCCGGCTTTCGGTTCCTGATTTAGCTCCTTGGCAAAATCTTGGATTTCTTCCTTCCTCCACCAAAGGGCGAAGCATCCAATGGAGAGGAGTGCCGACGCAGCACCGGCCAATGCGGGGCGGGCTACTTGGGAGGGAGGCCAGCGTAGAGCCGAGAGCAGAGAAAAACATCAAGTCATATGACGGCTGTAAAAGAGAAGCGAGCCGCCGACCTGTGAATTGTTTGGAGAAGGAAGCCCTGCTTTCCCCCCCACTTCCCCCACAGCTTATGCATATGCTTCTCGTTTCTTAGCCCCGAAATCCTTCTCTTGCCATGAATTATTGATGCAGGGTCACTAGCATTTCTCCAGGAATTGTTTTCTTTTAACAATGATCCCTCCTGAATTTTTTAAGCCAGCTATTAACTTGGAAATCCAAACAAAGTTGCCGGTTTCTGATTTCAGGGTTCGGTTTGTTCTGACCCCTGGGGAAGGGGAGGACGTGGGCTGTGGCGAGCGCCGGCGTTTTTAAGGATCCGGTCCCTGATTCGGTGGCTGCGCATTGCTGAGTTGGGGCGGAGGTAGGACGAGAATATCGGGGGACTGACACCCTTGTTTCTGATTCTTCGGAGAAACGTCAGCTCAGCAGTTCGGAGGTGAAGCCCTTGCGCCCGTCGCACCTCGGCTGAAGGAGACCCGGGAATCCCTGGGGTTTCATCTGTGCCTCGTTCCCTCGGCTCCTTCTCGGTGCTCGGCACGCGTGGGGCTGGGGTCCAGCGAGACCGCGGACAGCTAAGCACGGGGTCGAACACTCTGCGTAGCGAGATTGGTTCCTCTTGTCCCTGTTCATAGTGGACCTTGAACCATTCGTGCATTTGGAGATGCTGCAAGGGCCCAAGGGGGCATCTTTAATAAGGGTCCGGTCCGGTTCTAGGGCAGAGTCCTTCCATTGACTTGAGCCGGCTCCACGAGCCCACCGCAGAGCAGCACCCGCCTGTGCCAGTCCCCTCTGCACCAGCACCGCAAACCTGGGAGGAGCGGCCAGGTGCAGAAGTGCGTCCTGGGATTTCTGAAGCACCTGTTCCCGCAGGCTGCCATAGCCTCTGGGGTGATTTCCAGACGGCTGGCTAGGAGTTTGGGGACGTGTGGCTGTCCTGGTCTCCTTAACACTTTCAGTGTCCAGGCCATAGGAGGGGGAAGTGCTAGGGCTGAGCTGATGACCTTGTCCCAAGCAGCACAACCAGTGTCTGCCCCCTTGGGACCTGCCTTAGCGTGGGGCTAGCTGGTCCATGCGAGGTGGATCCTGCTAACGAAGGACGCCTCCTTCTCGCTGTCACCAGCTGTCCCTCCGAAGGCAGGGTGGTGGTCTCCATAGACCTGGAGCCCATCATGTGGGGAAGAGCTGGGGCTGGGGCAGAGCGGTCTGACTCAGGGAGGCCAGGGACGGCTCTCAGAGCGCTGCCTGCGTGTCTCAGATATGCCCAGACTCCTTGATTTTTATTTTTTTTTTTTGGTCTTTCCCCTGTGCTGCAGCTTGGGAGGGGGGAGCAAGCAGACACCAGCTGTCTGTTTCCCAGGCAGCCCTTGCCTGCGTACGGTGCAGCATGGCACCGAGCTCTGCAGCAAGCACACACGAATAGAGGATCCTCCTGAAGCCTTATGTAACCGGAGGCAGTGATGTCATCGGGAGAGCACTCGGTGAGACGACAGCGCGAGGCACGGCCCGCGACTGTCCCCCTCCCTGCGATCATTACTCCTGCTGTCACTTATGCAGAGGCTCGGGATGCTGCCTTTGCTGCCTTGCCCCACTTCACCTGCCCCATACCCAGAAGCGTCTCCACCCTGGTGAGCTCGGGGACACCGTGGATTCCTCATCGCTGTGCGCAGCGTCACAGAGGTGGAAGGTCCCTGGCCTGGATCCCGATACTCACGGGCCCCCCTGTCCCTAGGTCAGCTGCCATCAGGAGGAGCAGTCGCTTGCCGAAGGAGTGCAGCAGGCAGGGCCCAGCAGAGGCATATTTGAAGGCAAGGGCACAAGAGTGCTGTGATCCCTGGGCTTAGGACAGTGGGGCCCTCTTGTGCCAAGGCTAATTTTTGCCCAACATTTTGGAAAAAAAACCAAGACCAAGCTCCCCGTGCTGGGGGAGGTAGTTAGTCTTGTTAGTTTTTGCAGGTGGCCATGGTTAGCTCAGACCAGGGGCTCCAGCCTGCCAAAGAAGTGGGAGTGCACCCCAGCTCTTTGTGGACTGAACAGAGGAGCATGTGGGACCTGGGATACGTCTCCTTTCGATCCTTCAAGCACGTGGCCCCTGGTCCCTAGAGATCTGGGCAGGGTTGTCACAAAGCAGATGGATCCAGACCACCGTCTGGTCATGCCTGTGTTGCACAAGCACCTGAACCTCATCCTCTTTCCGGGAGTAGATGGAAAGAAGTGGGAGAAGGCTGGCTGCGGGAGGAGCAGCAGAGAAATCCCTGCCTCTGCTACTCTGAGCATCCATGCCCACGCGCAGTCAAAGCCTCGATGGGCCTGTGACCAGGGGAAGGAGGGGGCTGAGCCCGCCTGCCTCCTGGAAGCCGTCTTCGTCAGGGAAGAGAGCGTCAAGGAAGATCCCCGCTGCCCCATGTCTACCTGACCCACAGTGAATAACACAGGCTCAGCCCACATCCAGCACTGGGATCCTCCAGAGTCTGATTCTCCTCCTTCCCTAGGGTTCAACGCGAGGAGGAAAGGCAACCCTTTGGTCTTGATCTCAGTTGATTCTCCACTTGCTAAACTGTCTGCTTAGAGCTGGGTCTCCAGATGCGAAGTGAGCTCAGTGACATGCATGCAAACCCAGCTGGCTCCTGTTTGCTGCCTGGCCAGGGCTGGGACGTTTCTTGAGTGTAAGAGTTGTCACCTTGCCATGAAGCACTGAGTAAAAGGACCTGCAGCGATAGGGATGCATCATCGGTGACCCTGCAACCTCCCTTTGACTAGGTATTTGAGCTTTGCTGACCTGCTCCTGCAGCACTGTGCATTGATAACCATGGCTTTGAGTGATAGTCATCTGTCACCGTTTCGGAGCCCCATTGGCATTCTTTGGCTTAATAAGCGTTAATGAACAGCTCAGCTACGCCCTGCAGAAACGAACGGTTACAACAGCTTTTGGGAGCTAAAAGCAGGAGTGGGGTTGGGAAAGAAGGAGAAATGGATACCTCTCAGACACCACTGGAGGGGAAGGATGGGCTGGTGAGGATTTGGCCTCACCTATGCACAAAAGTGTTGCTGCTCTTCTGTTACTAGTCTAGGCAAAGAGGTACAACCCCCACGGTGGGGACACGGCTATGTTGGGGAGGAGGGTTGGCTGAACGGGTGTGCCTGTGGGGCAGGGATTAAACCATGCTGGCACAATCGCCAATATATGTGCATCTATGCTGGGAGCTGCACTGGGATGACTGTTGCAGTTGAAACAAGGCAGGGTGGGTTATGCTGGTTCAAAACCTGTCTGCCAGTGAAGCCAGAGATCATCCCATCCAAAAGTGTGTGGCTACTCCTGTCTCAGTGATTGGGTGTAGGCAAGTGGACAAACTCCTGCAAGGTGGAGGAGAGCGGGGCTTTGCCGCATCCTGGGAACTGCTGTGGTCGTGCTCCCACCCAGCGGTCAGTGAAAGCCAACCCCGGGGGAGCTGAGCCCTCGACAAGGGAGAGGCTCCTTGCTGTTAAGCCCATTCCAGTGGAGCAGAGCTACCCCAAAACCAGCCCCTCTTCCCGTGTCCCAGGAGAGCCCCGCACCCATTCAGCCATGTCCCTGGCAATACCAGTGCTGTGTTCTCGGATGGACGAGGCCTCAAGCGGCTGCAACCTGTGTCGGGCCCTCGGCGGGATCTCCATGCAGCAGCTCCAGTCACCGGTGTCCCATAAGCTGAGGCTGGCATCGGTGTGGCTTTGTTATGCTGCTCAGCATCGTGACTTGGCTGTTTCTTTGCTGACGGCCCTGGGTGATCTTTTGGCTGCTTCGCTGCAGAGAATGCGGATCTACAACGGCCGTTGAAGAGGCAGATCAAAACACGGTCTTTCCAAATTTGGGAGGGCAGGGGTCTCTGACACTGGTCATTACCTGGCTCATGCTGGGAGAGGCTGTCTACACGTCTTCCTGACCTAGCCAAAACCCTAGCTCGTATTCACAGCGTCTTCCCATGGCTGTGCTAGCAGTAACAATGTGGTCTTCCCCAAGCATGGATAGTAAAGGAGGATGCTTAGGGCAGGGTTTGGACTATACTGGAGACAGGCTTCACCTCCATGACTTGTTCAGAGCCACCCTCTGCTGCGAGTCTTAAGGGATAGCCTCTGTTTTCTCTTGCAAATGGGTCTGGAAATTGCTGTCATTTGCTGTTGCATTTTGTATGGTAATATGTCCCAAAGCCCCCAAGCTGAGATGGGGCTGCATTGCGCTAGGGGCCGTATGTACAAATAGGCCCGGCCTCAGATCTTAGAGCCAGATCCTGTTAGGCGCCCAAGTGTGATCCTGTTCTGCTCTGCTCCTCCTTGCTGTGTGGAGTGACTTGGTCTTAAGGCTGGGAAACTAGCACGCTATGCAAGTAGGTGTGTTTAGTGGTTCTTCAGGCACCTGAGCAGGGCGGGATAGGATTGCTCTTAGGCACTTATTAGGTGAAGCAGGACCTGGTCCTTACATAACAGACAGGAAATGTCGCTGTCCCAGTGGGACAGGCCTTGAGACTGCGAGCTTGTCTTTGCTGCTGCAGTCTAATTCTAGCACGGCCCGTGCCAGAAGTCCTCAGGCCTGGGAGAGCGGGGAGTGAATCTCAAGCTGGCCCAGCGTGGGGCAGGGGCTGATGCTCGAGTGGGCGCTCCAGTGACGACACTACTGTGCCGTGCTGCAAATGCTGCCACTGCTGGCTTGCAGTGTTCGAGCAAAGCCGGCATGAGCTGATGCTGCGGTGAGGACAAACCTCCAGGGCCTGCCCCAGCCCACACTGGACGTCTGCGGCAGGGCAGAGGATTGACTTTTGGTGTCTTCAGAGTCCCCAGCCAGAGCGCTGACCAGGAAACCTTCCTGGGGACACGGCGACAACCCTCTGCTCTGGGCTGGCCTGGCTGCAAGGGGCAGCAAAAATGCTGGGAAGCTCCCAAGGAGCTGGGCTTTCCCAGTGCTCAGAGCCCAGTCCTGCAGCCCTCCTCCCAAGTGACCAGTTTGCAGGTCACTGCCCAGACTCCTGAGCGATGAATCGAACCACAGCCCAGCTCCCAACTGGGGCAGACTCCTCCAAGCCTGGTCTGGGCATCCCCACGACGTACTGGTCCAGTACCTGTTGCTGGGCAGGCCTGGGGAGCTGCTGATCTGCATGAAACTGGCCCATGCGGCTGGTTTGCAAAGGAGCAAAAGCCCCTTGTCAACAGCGTGGATTAAATGTCAGCGGATCTCAGCCTGGGAAACAGCTGAGGGGGTGAAACGTGTGCGCGCTCATCAGTTGAGATGTTTTTGACTTTTTTCAAAACGCCGTTTCTGAACGTTTGCCGAAACGCGCGGGTCCCCCCGCAGCAGCCCTGCTTGCCAAGGCTTAGCCCGAGGCAGTGCGCGCCGCTGAGTGATGGACCTTTTGTAAGAGGCTTCATAATGGAGACCCTGCCGAACCCATCGCTGTAGCACTGCTGGTGGGTGCCGCTCCTCCCCTGACAGTTCATCAGCAGAACCCCTGACCCTTCCCCCCCTTAATCATCCTTGCCTGTCACCGACATAATTGCGTGATTACCAGTCCCTCTCCCCCACCCCTTTCAGCCCCCACACAATAGTGAATCTCGGCTACAAAATGGAAATGAACCATCCAACTAATTTCCACCCCCCTCCCCTCCTTGCATTCAGCCGGATTGACCGTAGCCAGTCTCTTTGTGCATGTGTACGGGGCGGGGGGGGCTTTCAAGGCTGGAATACCTTGAGTGTGAGCGGATCGGCTGATGTCATTGTGTTATTGATTCGGGATTGCAAGTTCAGCCATAAATCATTAATGGAGGGGCTGGAAAAAAACACTTTATTGTTTTCCATAAATCTGCTAACTCTCAAATGCAGGCTACAAAGGTTGGGGGTCGGGGGGCACAGGGTGGTTTCCCTGCGTTGTTGGGGAGGGTGGATGCTTGGGGGTCTCTGTCTGGATCGTTCGCTTTGTTTCGGACGAAAGCGAGCAGCGCAGTGGTGTTATGCAGTGATAGTCTGGAGTGCAGTGGACCCAGTGCTGCTGAATCGCCAGGGAGCTCATCGGGAGGGTGTGTTGTGAAGGTAGGAACAGATGGGCAGAGGGCCCGGGGCTCTGTTGTTCCTACCTAGAAAACTTGCACTAACAGGCAGATCTCAAGTGCAGGGATAAGAAAACACAGTCCTGCCTTTATTGGGCACTTGGAGATCTTGAGTGGCGTGGGCACAGCAGCCCCATTAGTGGGACTGACGTCTGACGCCCACATTGGGCTGACGGTCTTGCTGCTGTCCATTAGGCTCTCTGATCCGGGTAGAAAAAACAAGAGATGGGGTGTCAATGTGCTATAGCGATCCACATGTATTATAACACTGGCTTTTCCCTAACTGCTAATGTGCCAAAGGGAGAGCACAGACCAACCGCAGCCTGACGAAGGGTGTTTGTACCCGAATGCTTGCAAAGAAGAATTTTTCCAACTACTTGAGTTGGTCTAATAAAAGATACTGGATTTACCCAAAGATCCTTGCTGCCTTGGCATTGGACATTTGCAGGCACTTTGATCTGGGGCTCTGCCCACTTGAGAGGTGAACTGAGGGGGTTGCTCAGAGCACTGCCCCTTCCTAGAGCGCATCCAGCTGAGAGAGATTATCAGAGCAGAGGGCAAGAAATAACTGGTGCTTGCTGCCGAGTAGCTGGTGTTTGCAGTATAAATGTTTCAATGACTCAGCGCAAGGCTGTTTCAGGACCCCGCTGGAAACAGGGATGCGTGTAGAAGGAAGCGTCTGGGGAAGCTGGAGGGAAGAGGGGTGAGTCTGTGTCCCCGTGTAGCCATGCTGCGCTAACCCCTCTCTCTCCCCCCCGCAGGCGAGCTCACCTCCGCCTGTGTTTAGAGCGCTTAAAAGTTCTGATACCACTAGGACCAGACTGCACCCGGCACACGACG